AGGCATTGGAACAGGCTGCCCAGGGAGGTGGTTGAGTCACCATCCCTGGAGGTGTTCAAAAAAATGTGTAGATGTGGCACTTCAGGATATAGTTTAGTAAGCACGGTGGTGTTGGGTGGATGGTTGGACTTCATGACCTTAGAGGTCTTTTCCAACCTATGATTCTATTATTCTATGATTCTATGTAGACTATTTGGCTTTCAATTTACTAGTTAGCATTTCTGTAACAAACATACTACCAATCCGCTCAACTCAATTCATACCCACTTTGTATTAAGTGAAAACACCAGTATTAGCTACCACCTTGACACAGAAACTTGTGCCTACACATTTTTTTTTAGTAGTTAAAAATGACCAGTTATTTGGAGTCCTTTTGGTCTAAGAAAATACTTTCTTTCACAGTTTTAGCGCCTTTGGTAAACTGTGGCAATGGGTTCTCTATAAAAGATACAGTAGCCACCCCCAACAATCTAAGGCACTAATTCAAATAATTAACTTTTGAAAGCCTGGATATCTGTTGGAAACTTCAGGTTTCTCCTAAAAGCTTCCACCACATCTGCCAGAAGTATTTCAGTCTGGGAGAAGTCACATACAAGTTCTCCAAGGTTTTCAAGTTGATTATTTTTAAAAACAAAACAAAAACTAGCCAAACAAACAAAAAAAAAATCCCCAAAAATCCCCCCAAAATAACTTGAAGACTATTTCAATTAAGCAGCTTTTACAGTATTTCTGCGCATATACAGTAATAGAAGCTGAACAAACATATCTAGATTTTCTGAACTATAGCCCACTTTTTCTTTTGCTTTGATTCATACTTCTTGGAACACTCCATGCTCAGCATAACATCCACTTCCTACATATCTAGTGACTTCCTTTTTCAAGCATCTCTTAAAAAGATTCATTAACTTGTAATTACTCTAAAAAAAATAATTTCTAAGCATAAGCTGCTAATGTTATCACCGTATGAAAAATCCACAAAGAGGTATTACACTATTTCTACCAATACAACAAAAAGGAGGCACTGCACTGGTTGTCTACAAAAGTACTATTAAGCACAGAAAACGTCCAAGTACAGATATCCCCTCCACCACTTCCTTCCACCTTTATCTTACACATTTTTAGGCTTACATATTCTGTTAAAAATATTTTAAAAAGCAAATCCACCTTTAAACATCTGCTTTTGATTGCCGTTTACTGGTGATCTTGAAGACTCATCCTATTTCTATCCTTAATAATGGTGGTGTTACATAGACATTATCTCCTTTGGGCACATAACTTTTTCCATGCATAATTAAAGCGCCTTTATGCAAAGTAAACACTCGCATCTTTCAACTGTAAGTAACATGTCATCTTCAACTCGGTCTATTTACGTGACATACTTCAGCTTAAGCCTACCTCTGCCTCAAAAAAAAAAAAAAATTGTATGCTAGTTTCCTTGCCACTCCTTACTGATGCTCCCTCTACCCTTCTTTACAGATCATGCTGATATAACTGTGTACAGACTATGTAGTAAACAGGATCGCTTGCATCATTGACTAAAACAAAACAAAACTCCAAACCCTCAACACTGAAAAATTATTAGAGTTGAGCTGAAAGACAACTTCAGATGCACCACAGAGACTGGACTGAGTGACTAGCAATGCCAGAAACTGGTACTGCCACTGAAGTCCACAACTTGCGAAACTGCAGCCCCAGACCACTCATGTTTTGAATTCTTTGAAGGTTTCTCTCTGTTACTAAATTAACATTTCAAGGTCTTCTATCTTTCATAAAATCCAGAATTGACAGAAGTTCTATATAAGCTTCTAAGAAATGTTTACAAATACTGTGGCAAAAAGAATTTACGCACATTAAAATACAGGTCATTGAAAGCATAATGACATATTCCTAAATGAGATACCCTTGTTATAAGTTCTGTAAACAATTCTGACAAATATTCCTGCATGCAAGTGTTCTGGCATAGTTTTACATTTTTGTTTGTACTTCGAAAACACCACGGAATTCTTTAGTCATTATTTATGATTCAAGATTAAGACTGTATTTACCGACAGCTTCAACCTGCCTTTTCACAACAGTATTTTATATCTATTATCTCTAATGATGCACTTTTCCCCCTCCCCCAGCTATCTCACAATTCACCATTCAGATACTCAGATAGATGAGAATCCAGACCATACTGCCAAGAAACAAAACACAGAATCCAAAATTCTCCATGCTGCTGTATCGATGCTTTAAGCCTTTTACAGTACCACAACATCTAACACATGAAACTTACAGTGGTGTATTCCTATGCATGATCTTAAAAACCCACTCTTCAGTTGATCACTATGGCTACTGATCCAGAAACCCACCTGGACAATTTCCATCAAGACCCCCCATCAAATCTCCATATGATGGTATCTCAAGAACTATCACATATCATCCTCTTGTTTACTAATACCAAGTCGCTGTTTTATATCAGCTAGATAAAATGAATAAGCATATAATTTTTTTTGACCTGTATGAGAAAAGCTAAAGCTAACTGAAATCTAAAGACAAACAAAAAAAACCCCTCAGCTGATTGCCTTTTAGCTCATCTATTAGTTAGCAGACCTGCTCAACACTCAATGCTTTGTCAAATTAACCACCTTTAATATGGCTAAACTATCTGTAACCATAGTAGAGCACATGGGGGTCTTAATCTTTATAAACCATGAGAAATGCTGATAAAAAGCTATATGCATAATACTTAATTAATTAAACATTAAAATATGTAGGAACATTTCATTTTGTTGAGTCAAGAAAGGTTAAAAACGAAGCTTAAATTGGAAATATTTTAAGCATTTAAGTTTTCTAAGGTGTCTAAGCGTGCACATCACATACACAACAGAGCCAAAACAACATGCTTAATGAAACACTAATACAGATAGCAGTTTACACAATTATATGCAGCTAACTTGAAAGCCATGCCATAACTCAGCCTTAAGAAATTAAACACTTGTCTTGTCCCATCATGCCCAGGTATTGCATAACATAGGATAGTTAACAATGGAAGGTTTAAGAATTTTGACTGCGTTGTACTGCTCCTCCTGCTGTGTCATACTACTAAAAAAATACTGCATTCATTACAGACCATATCATTCTTAAAATCAAGAGCTACACTGACTGCACTTCATAGAAGGGCATGCTGCAAAGCTAAAAAACAGAGCTGATTTAGAGCTTATAAAGTTCTAGGGCATAACACCAATATATTTGAAAATAAAATTACAGTGCTGAGAAGCTGAAATCCGCACTTTGTTCATTTCTTGCTGGATATTTAAAATTAACTTGATAGTCATTAAATAAAATAACTTTACTTGTCCCAGTTCAGTCCCTAGTGGACAAAACAAACACTACAGAACCCTTAAAGTGCACTTAACACGCTAGCGCTTGCCTTTTGAGAGGAACAGTTAAGACAACACAGGATATATTTTAAAACCATTTTCACTATCAATGAGAAAATATCTTGTATGCCATTTGTTACACTCCTGCTACCAGTTACAACCCTTCTGTGTGACCCAAACAACAAAACACTCTTTATAAAAAGGGAAAGTAGGAAGAGGGCCAAACAAACCCAATATATTTTTTAAATGTTTTTTTGGTTTTTGACACTTCTCACAGTAAGATTTATTTACCTGTACAAATAAAATAGTAATTTCTCATAATTTGAAAAAATACTACTACACCATTACACTCACACAAGCCTGTGCTTTCAGATTTTTATTGCTCACCTCAAAATCACTTACTTCCAGCAATGAATAATACACATGTAAATTTCCCAGTCCTTATCACCATTTTCAACTGTCAGTTTTACATACTTTTAATAATATTTCAAGTTTCTAGAAGAAATTATCAACTTACCTAAAAAATATTCATTTTAACTATAACACAAATCTTACTCCTTCCACATGCAACCACATTTATTACAGCAAAACTAAAGTGATGTGCAATCTACAGGGACTTGCTAAAACAAATGTCCATACCATTATTTTTAAATAAAGAAAACATCTTACCTTGCCTGTCTTGTGATCAAACCAGACAAGAGCATGGTTCCTGGACAGCACCTTACAGTCAAAAGTTGCGTTGTTCTGAGCTGGCCGACAGCGAGCCACTGAGCGGCCAATCTTGACGGGCTCGTCCAGGTAGACATGACGCTCCTGAAACGGATGAGAGTTCGGGCGGCAAGTGAAGATGGCCAAGGCTGAAGGCATCGAGGACAGATTGGGGTTGCCACACCAACCAGAGATGAAGAGAGCCTCTTCTGACGCAGACTGTCCTCCACGATTTTTAACCCAAACCTTCACAGCAACTTTGTATTAAAGCAGGACAAACATTATCATCTGCGAGGCCTAGCAACTCATTGTTTCAGTGTGTAAACTAACTCTGGCAGTAATCCAGTGAAAAAGCCCCATTATGTCTTTTAACAGTATCAGCAGTGGCCCAAAAAAAGTCTAAAATGTACAACTTTCAATCCATCCTCCTCTGGAAGAACAGGAACAAGCATCCGATTCCTTCAAAGAGAAACAAAGGCTCCTTGAAAGAAGGAGAGAATGTCTTAAATCCAAGTAGATGAGTCATACAAGTACTTTTGTTTGTAACCTCAGCTGCCTTCTTTCCCCCCCCCCTTCCGTAAACAACGCTGACCAAAACTCTGACCAACGTAACATGGAAGCAAGGAAAGGTTTAGGGAAGGGGGATGAGGGAGAAGGATTAACGTCCTCTCTCAAAGGGCCTGGATCAGCAGTTGGCAGGTGAACACGAAGCCCTCACTCCTCAATAGGGGTCTAGTCTCTCCACACGGCGATCCGCATTTCACCATCTTCGTGTACCAAACCAAAGCAGAATAGGTGGTCCTCGATTTAGGATGGGGTACGAGAGCTGTACCGTCTTCCTCCTCCACACCAGATAAAGCTGAACTGGTCTACTGTTTCAGGCAGCCACTCAGATAAGGAACTTGATAAGGCATGGAGAGGGCTTCAGACTCTCCTTCTCTCGGGGACAACCTCACGCGTGGAAAGGAAGGGGACGGCCTACGCGGTGCGCTGACAGGTTGCTCCCAGGCGGTGCCCGCGATGGCTCTGGCTGGCGGCAGCGGGCAAGGGTCCGTCCGCGGCGGGGCTGGGCCGGGC